TTGATTTTATTAGGATTAGTACCGTATGAATCTGTCGTTGGTATCTCAGCTACGAATAAGAGACAAGGCGGCATGCAAGTTGGTTTTACTAATCTAAAGCTTTACTAAACTACAGCACAGCTTTGCCAAGTTATTGCACAACTTCAAAATTGTATAAGGAACGAAATCTGCCTAGGTGAGCAGCTAGAAGTATAAACACCTTTTAGTAGGTCCCTTCTAAAATTTGAACTTGCTTAATAAGATAACCTGAAAATTGAGTGGATTTTGGAGCCTACGGATGAATTGCGAGGATTCTGGACAGCTGGGGAACCTCATAAAACGCGAACGAGTTTTGACAGTAAATTCCTTGAAGTAGAATAGGAATTGTGACTCTCTCAAAAAGAATACTTTTGAAGAGATAGAGTGTTCAAATTTGAAAAGCTTTAGATTTGGTGGTTCCGATGTCAGCTATATATTTTCAAGAATATCGATTCGATCCAATTTCGGAAAGAGATAAAAATAGTCCGATTAAAACTTTTGGGTGGAGGTTCTAAGGCAGTTTGCAGGGTCACTCAATGTGGGAAACAGGGTCCCGGGTGGGAAGAGTGCACATGGCTGGGATTGCTTTGTCGGATTTGGGACGCGCTTCAGTCACAAAATCGGTAATTCAGGAAACTTGATTAAGAAGTTACTGGGTGAAAAGGAGTGGAGGAGGAGGGGGGAGAATCCTCGAAAGACTAAGATAGCAAAACGCAAGATTTCACAAGATTCGAGTATCTGTAAATTAAGTATCTGTAAATTCGTGTCTTTGCGAGCAAAGAAAGTGGCGGTGCGGTTAGAAAAGAAGCTGGGAGGGAAGCATTCATGATCCTTTTGCTAATTTTGATAAAAAAAATTTCCGGAAGTTTCGAAAGCAGGAAAGATCAGTGACTTTGACAACTTCTGGGCCCTTACTGTTCAAATCCGTGCCATAGTTTCGGAGAGGAAAAGATTTGCTCCAATTTTTAAAGGTTCTAAAGATAAGTTTCAGTCACATTCTCACTTCACACACACAGCCAGTCCAAAGCGCCGCGAAGCGGCGCTTTGGACTGGTTCTTATATATAAAGCTGAATGTTGTTTGTATGTCTCTCTGTATGTATGTCTGTCTGTTTGTACGTATGTTCCGAATAGAAAATTCGGTACTTTTCCGTTATTTGGACCCATTTTTAAAGCTTCTCATATTATATGTTTTTAGTCTAAGAATAATTTTTCATAGATTCTATGATGCTACCTCCTTGCCACGTGTCACGAAAAATTGACATGTTTTGGTTCATTCTGACATGTTTTTTTTTTCGAAATCATTTCAGGTGAGATAAAAGAGAATTTCTGATCATTTTGAAGCTTTTCAACTGTTTTACATAAGAGCAAAACAATCATGAACTTATTTTAAAACATCTTGCTTGCTTTCAGCAATGATCAAAAATGTCTTTCTCTTTAAACGCTTTTGACCATGCGAATTTAGCAGGAAAAGGCTATAAATGATAGCTTAAAGTACTTTGCTGCTGCTTATTTCGCCTCTTGAATGACGGAATCCTAGCGAATTTCTCTATTCTGAGCAAGCTAGACTCTTCACCGATAGTAGTATATCGTCATTATTATGACAATGTTTATTTTGAAAATGCTTGATCGAAATAACGTCAAAATTAAGTAAAAAACAGATTGAAGCTACATCGCTAGGTAGGGTAACACAAACTCTTGGTAAAACCTGTCAAACATGTAGATGACATGTCAAATTTTTTTGGCACGTGGCAGAAGGTTGACACTGTTTCCAGTGAGGCTGGGATAAGATATGATGCAAGGATAGAAGCAATATTTTTTTCTTTGAAAAAATGGGTCCGGATAACCTAAAAGTACCGAAAATTCCATTTCTAACCGATCCGGACCAAACTTTGCACACATACACTTCGGGGCCGGGCGGGTGTCATAGGCCACTTTTCGTCATCGATCGATATCGATTTCCATCGATTTTTTTGCAAAGTTTACGTACTGGGCTGGGAGTTGGCAGAGGGGGGTAAATGAGCATGGGGATTCCGAATACAATATTAGCTTCTAGAATTATCGATTACTTTTGTCGATTTTATCGATTTTTTTGTAAATTTTGAGCTGCGGGGCTGGGAACACAGGAGGGTAATCGAGCATGCTGATTACGAATACACTATTAGTATCGATTTATCGATTCTGTAAAGTTTGACCTGCGGGGTTGGGAGTTTACACAGGGGGGGGGGGTAATTGAGCATGCTGATTACGAGTACAATATTAGTTTGGCGTATTCGGCTATCCGGGCCCCAAAATTTTTTTGTCGTAGAGCTTGCTCAAACTTCGTGTTTAAGGGCTATCTTACATGCTGATTACAGAAATCACACTTTCTCCGCAGAACGTCTCCCCATGTGGTTACGGTAGGTGTACGGTAGGAAGTCCAAATCATGAATTCGGCTGGAGTTCGGTCCAGAGAACTTATTCGACATGCTGATTACGAATTTCATACTGTCTCTGCATATTGGGACCTTTTCATAGAGTTATTGTGATTATACGGTATGGGGTTGAAAACATAGATTTGCTTTAAACTTCGTCTTGGGTGGTCATTTAGCGTGCTGAACATGAATATCATGCTGATTTCGCAGGATAGTGCATTTTCTTGGGTTACAGTGGGCGTAGATGGGTCGATGTTTCAGATTTGCTCAAGACCTTACCTGTAGCGGTTCACAAATATACTGCTTATGAATACGGTTCTTGCTCGCTGTCATAACGCATTATTGTGAAGTTACTGTGAGTTGCAGGGTTTGAGTGGACATTTCTTCGCTTTCGGGCCAATTTAGATCCCAGATACTCACGAAATGGAGAAACGGTTGTTTTGCATGGCGGTCTCCACCGCCATCCTGATAACCTGTCCCAACGTGTAACGCACGCGGCAAATCTCCCTCCCCCTGTTTTTGCTTAGGCAAAAGCCGCCGAAGGCATATCGCGCACGGCAATGGTCCTATAAGGAAAACATTACGGTCGTGGGAAACTTTTATACCACACGTCATCAGCGGCTCGAATAACCCCCATATGCCGAGTTTGAGCAAGACCCACCACAAAAACATTTTGGGGCCCGGATAGCCGAATAGCGCCATCAGTTTTTAGAATTATCCGTTGCTTTTATCGATTTTATTGATTTTTTGCAAAGTTTGAGCTACGGAGATGGAGATTAGTGAGGAAGGTATGTGAGCATACTGATTACTCATATAGCGGGAATAGGGAATTGCATGTAGAAGTGGGTACAGGTAGAGGTGTACAGGGATAGAAATTGAACCTTTATCGTTTTTGACAGGGCCGGGCGGAGCCGGGTAGGCCAGCTAGTGTTACTGTGTAATCAAGCTACGCGATTAAAGTAGCCACTTGATTGGCAATGCTTCAACCGTCTATAACTTATCTTACTCGCATTTCAGTACAGAAGGCTTTCATCAGTCTGCGGATGTTATACTGCTATACATTTTTTAGTTTGCCAGTGCTAGAGCTGAACACATTTGACATAGATCGCGGGCGACAGATTTTGCGTGTATGAAGTGCGGGGGGGGGGAAGCTAAACTTTCTGCAAGATACAATTTTCTGAGAAAGACTTTATACTCTGCGAAAACCATTCCAGCTCAAAAACGGATGTTTTATAATTACGAAGCAGGCTCGCAAGCGACGATCTACCACAGCTGTCGCTGAAACATGGGATGAAGACACTCGGACTAGAGTACATATGATAGGAAGATTTAGTTACCAGAAACAATCGTAAATCTTCAAGGCACCATCCACCCTAGATTAGGGGTCTTGAGCTTTTGACATCGTACGATAGTAGCGCCCCTTATCGAGCCAATGCCCAATTCCGGCTCAGAATATCGTTTCCAAAGTAAATTGCTTCGAAATAACGGAGGCGCTAGGACCAGTCGGCACCGCCCCTCCAGTAATGCCCGCCCACCGCCCAACCAATTACCGTTCACTCCAAAAGTCTCTGTGGGTTCTCCGGACCGGGGATTGTCGATGTTTTCGCGAATCAGATCATAATCGGAATCGGGGACATGTGAAGTCCCCAAACGACAAAAACATGGAAATCGAGAACTTGGATAGAAGATGCCTTTAAGCTCCGAAAAAAAAATAACTGCTTATAATGGAAGTGATATAGAGAGGAAGAAGCAGAAACGCGAAATAGGTAGTTTTTCTAGTGCTGCCAATCATTACTCAACAACAAAGGGCTTAGACCATCTGTCCGTTTGTCTGTCTGTGTGTATCTTTCTGTCACGAATCATAGAGCAAGAGGTTGCAGCAAACATCTCGAGCCAGAATTCTGCACGACGAACGTCATATAGCATGTAGTTCCATTCTCCGAAAGCGCGGATTCGCTGCGTGGAACCTACGCAAGCTGAACATCATACGGGTCCACGCGAGTTTTGGCGCGCAAAACAAGAGCCGCATTTAGACTTTTCACAAGGTCAAGAATATATTTGACATGTACATCTATAAGCCATTGACTTTAGCCCAAAGAAGTGACCAAAGGTCTATTACTTTACGAAAAGGCGCCAAAAAGAATTGGCTGCGTAAATGTTCAAATTGCCAAGGTTTTACCCGATCATTTGTAAAGATTTTTGCAAGTAGATGTAGCTCAGGATGATCATTATCATTAAGGCGATTACCGAATCATCAAAAGTCCAAAAACGATTTGAATTTGCATTTCTTCTTCTGGAGAAAGTTCCACCCACGCGAAATTACCGATCTCACATGGAAAAGCTTTAGAAATGATGTTTACAGATCATTCGTGATAGCCTGCATAACACGGTGGGTTCCAACCTCACTATTACGGAAATGAGTGAGGCATACAGATAGTGGGATCAGCGCGAACCTCTGCGAAGCAGAGTTGACGCACTGGTAAAATATAAAAATCATTTATTAAGAAATTGGAAGTGTTGTACATGCAAACTATGCCAAGGACGTTATGATTCAAATTGGTTTTTCATGATTATTTCAGTAAAATCAGCGTAATAAACGAACTAAGCGTAAATAGCAATGTTGGGATCTTCGACGAGTTACACAACGAGTTCTTGCAACAGCATTGTGTGACTTCGTTTGTTTTCGTACAGCTATCGGAGTTCTGAAATAAAACAAAGTTTAGCTCAGTCTGGTGAGAATTAGTAATGATGACAGAAGTGGACGATTATCGTTGTGGTATGCTAAGCTTAAGGCGTAGATTTAAGTCAAAAACCGGGAAGATCATGCAGAACACTCCGCATAAATTGAACATTCAAGTTCTGGCTTTCGTTGATCATTTTCGACACCTCTTCTAAGATTCGCTTATTTTTTGTTTGAGCAGACTGTAAAGCATAAAAATGGTTGGTAAATGTACCTGCACCTCCATCTTTGTGATCAGACGTCCTTTTTGAAGCCAAATACATAATTTGCGCAATTTCAAAAATTCTGCTCAACTTTGACAACTGCCATGCTCGGAATTGTGATTCCAAGGAATCGCTAAATTTTCGACATTAGCGCAGTTCAAAAGTTTTTTATAAGTGGTAAAACGCCAAAAATTGATGGCCGTCTTCCCAGCTCGGTCAGCATATCAAAGCTCTGATTGCAATTTCTGGCAAAAATTACTCTGATGTACTTTTAAGTCATCCATAGAGCCTTTAACATCATAACATTAAAGCTGAGATAACCAATACAGTCTCAGTTTAACCACGTCTGCTTCATACAGGGTGTCCCAAAGGTATGTATACACTGTTTGACCGTTAATTTTTTTCGCAAAAAGTCTTTTGCCTACGTTCAGGTACCTTGTTACAGAGCTGACTTCAACTTAGATTTACAGTATGGAGCGAGTCACGGATCGCTTTTCACTACTGTAAGATTACGGTAAACATTCAGCTTATAGCGTCATTGCGGATAGCGAACTGTTTCAAAAACGGTTTGCAAAAAATCTGAAAATTGATATGCTAAAGTTTTCAAGCTGCTGATTTCATTATTGAACTTTTTACAAGTTTGCAAAGCCTTTAAAACGGTGTAATCACGATTTCATGGAGTCTTGTAATAACAGCTATAGCGGTCTATCTGGCATACTTATGAAGGAAGCATTGCAGTAAAGTGCAAACACCACACTTAGTTTTAGCGCTTAAGTTGACGTAGTATAGAAGTTTTCTGGGTTGTTCACTTTGTTTTCTGAGGTGAAACAGGGTTTTTGATGGCTCACAACCCTTCTTGAATTTTCTACCGTAATCCTACAGTTATGAAGAGCGACCGGTGATTTGATCCTACGGTAAATCTAAGGTGAAGCCAGCTCTACAAAATGGTGCTTAGAGATAGGCAAAAGACTTCTTGGATAAAAAGAGGTATCAACGATCAAACAGTGTATACATTCTTTTGGGACACCCTGTATAGTTTTCATAGTATTTGTATGAGACTTTCAGAGCACCTTTAACAACCTTCGTGTAGGTACGAACCTTTGAAACCTGTAGCAGCTTCTTTTCCCCTCAGGTAACTTTTTCAGGTGAAAAATTTCAAAACACATCGTTGCACCAAATATTGCAAGATTTTCAAAACATAGTTTTAAAGCTAATGTACTACTGTCACAAATAAATGAGTCACTAATCCTCCAGAATACAAAATTTATGAAATTTTGGGTGCAACAGTGCAGAGCGTCTCCTGAAATTGAAGAATAGGCGACTCTTTCTGCACATCTCGCGTTTACTGCGGAGAAATAGTACTTGTCAGGAAGAGGAGAAAAAGCTTCATCAAACGTTAAAATACTTCCCCATTCAATTTTACGAGGTTTGATTAGGCCTAAGATGTAATTTGGTCAGTTTAAAGACAGACTTTAGAAATCATAAAAGACAAGTCGAAGGGCTACAGAAAATCGCAAGGATTTACAAAAATTTCGCCCTAGTCGCTAATCATTAGGGACCCGTCATTTTTCGCTGAGAAAAGCCCAAAAGCGCCAAAAAAAAGCCGGAACGCCTTTTTCGCGCACACGAGCGCCAAGGCATGTGTGTTGATTTCGCAACCGAGTCTTTTTGGTTCATTTTCTGTCGTCTGCACCTCAAAATAATGTCAGAAATCTACAGAAAGTTCGTTTCAGAGTCCCGCCTCTTTCTGGCACTTTCGGGCTTTTTCGGGCTTTATTGGGGTTTTTCGGGTTTTTAAGCGCTTTTGAGCTTTTCTCGGCGAAGTATGACGAATCCCTAAGGCATCTCTGAAGGCCTCTAAAAATTGCAAATTAACGACATCTAGACGTTGAAATCAAGGGGCTGTTCATTCCAGCAGTCTCAGCCCTCTTTGAGGCTTCGATTATGAACAAAGCTGTTGGAAAGGGAAAGAAATTCCGTATTGGACACTGCATGAAGCATTGCTTTATTTTCCGTATCGGATTTGCGGGTGGGGAAGGGGTCAAGACTAACAAAACTACTGCACCAGACTAATATTAGGTTGTGTCAAAAGTAAACTCCTTTTCCAAAAAATCAAGCTGTTCTTGTTTTCTCAGCAAACCTAGGGTATCATTCGATAAAGCGAAGCAAGCTCTACAAAATCGCAGCCAAAAATCAGCCGAAGTCCTAATCCAGGTAAATTTGCAGCCGAAAATCAAAATTCCTCAACTACCCTGAAAATCGGATTTCTTTCCAGAAAATACCTACAAGTCTGAAACTTGTTCATTATACAGTAGACACACAGTGGTATCCAAAAATGTATTTGATAAAATTTTCCTTTGCTCAAAACTGAGAATTTGAAGTGGCCCGAAAATGCATAAATGTCATTTTTCGGTTTTTCAAGCGTTTAAATTGGTATTTCTCATTTACTAAATTGCATACGGAGGTAAAATTTCAATCTAGGTACAATTACATATGTGGGAGGAGGGCTGGGGGCGCGGTTTGCCGTTTTTGACTTCCTTTTTTCTCGCTTTCTATGCATGAAAAAATCCAGTAAAGGCACATTTGAGTACTATCAGCTATCTAAGGCGTAATGACCGAGTTGGAGGTCCGTAGGATTCTTCTTCGCAAAAATCCAATGTCAAGTAGTAGAATTTTTTACGATTCTGGCTTCAAACTTTACCTGGCTTACGTCTTAAAAAGGTTACTTTTTAGAAAATTTGAGAAGATTTAAGACTAACGACAAACCGATGTGCAAATTGCGCCGCAACCATACTGAGCTGCTTTTGCGTTTGATGTCTGCATGGAAATCCTGCAACATTCAACGTTTTCAGTATTTAGATTGAGGAAGAAACCCTTACTTGTAGCACATTTCACTATCACATTCTATAACAGATGTGGGCTTGCTGTCTCCTGTTGTGGTGTCTGCAAAATGATGATGTAAGGGAAGTACGGCAAAGTTTGAACTTACCTGAATAACACCTGATTGCAAGAGCAGAAAGTGGAAGAACGAAAAGAATAAGCCAGCCTTGCATGGCAAAAGTCATACGCATACTATGCTCTTCTATTTGCACAAAATCCGCGGTCATATTCATGTCTCACGATCACGATTGAAGCTACATTAGTCATCCACGTGCCATCAAAGATCATGGACAAGATTGTCACAACGAAGAGCCCCGAAAAAATGCATAAGATTTGTCGCAATCCAAAAATCGCATACTCATTTTTTAAGACTTTATAACTTCGAACGTCAAAAATTTATAGCGATGCCAACGGATTAAAATGTCTCATTTTGTGACACACTCAAATTTTCACACCGTGTAGGTCGTGAAGTAGGGTACAAGCGCAGTTGCGTTTTCGCAAAAATTCTGACGTCGCAGTGAGAGTTACGGTAGGTCTCGGTATAAGGGAAGGAATTTTAGATTATTACAAATTTGGCTTAATTGCGTAGATGGGTTGCATGACATGCATCACAAAAACGATATTGGTTTTGTATGGTAGAGGCTTTTTGTAAGTTATCACTAGGTTTGGGTAGGGGACCCTGCGCTAAACAAGAAAAAGAGGTGTCAATTTGATATTGAATATGATATTCGTATTCGGTAGGGCAAATAACCGCACCATACAAATTTTGGCGAACTAAGACTTCGATTTCTTAGTGATTGGGCTTATCTTCAAGCTGCTTTGTACAGCGGCTCGTTCATCTTTGTGAAGGCGCCAATTCTTAAGTCGTTGAATTTCATTTACTGCTTACTGCGCTAGATGAGTCAACCTCTAGCAACAATCTGTACACACTTTCTGATTCTTATGCGTGATTAGGGCTAAGAACGGCTTTATTTTCAATTGAAACTCAAGAGTCGATAAATTTTTGGATTTTCCTCTATTTTGTCATTAGAAAGCGAGCGGTTTGAGCCAGCTTTTAGCTCACACGGCAGTCATACAACGTCTAAATTTGAGCGCGTCAATAAAAATGAAAAGTCGGGGTCAGTTGCAAAACTTAGTTAACAGCCTAACACATAAGATTCACTGCATTTGCTCTCAAAACGCTAGAGTTTCTAAGCTAAATTAAATGCAGAAGGGTTTCGGGCTTACCTAGACAGCAGCGCGATTCACTATTCGCCAGACATCTTCAGATCCAACATCCAATAACGGACAATAAGTGCATGTGGTTGATTTTGTAAATTGACGTTGTACAGTTGTGACAGTGGAATGTGAAAAATTTCGCCAAATTCGCCGATGTCGCCGATGTCGCAGAATTCGCCGATGTCGCCGATGTCGCCGAATTCGCCGACGTCGCCGATGTCGCCGACTACGCGTCTTTTCGTCATAACTCCCTTCGCTCTCAATGGATTTCAAATTTGAAGGCAGATTTGGATTCAGCTCGCCGAGACGAATCTTTTCGTATATTGAACTGCTGTAATCGGCTCGGTCACGGTAAGTGCATGGTAGGAATCCGTTGCATCCTGTGGTGGTGTTTTCTAGAGTGTGTATTTCGGCGCATAATGTAGGCAAAGTCAAGAAAAAGAGCGTTTGATGAAAGAGTTTCTGCTGAGTGTTTCCAGCAGAAAACCATATCCTTTTTTGTAGTGGAAACAAGAGAAAGGAGTACATGAACTTAGTAAATATACATGAACCACTTACCGTCAAACAAACATAACTATACAGTAACACTATAATTAGCAAAACAACTATAATCTCTGTAATCAGCATGTCTTGTTGCTTATGTGAGCAAAGTGACACGCCTTATGACTATGATATTCTGCTTCCAGCAAAACTTCACTTTTTTCTGCAGACGCCTCTTTGCAACGCTGTGGGCCAGCCCCTTTCACACTTAAAAGATTCCGGTAAGGCGAATCGGAAAGAGTTGTTTCCGTAGATGATCCAACGGTGAAAAATAGACGGACATGCTTTATAAAGCGCGAAAAGAGATGATGAATTTTGCAAAAATCACGCGCTTTTAAATTCTACTCGCCGTAACTTTCTCCGGAATAAGTATATTCTGAATCCGAAAGCGGTGCTGTACTCAGTTCATCAAGGCGAATTTTTGGTATACAGCATGTCCTTGATATCTCGATTTCAGTATTTTTGAACTTTTCTGCGGACGTCTTTTCGCGAAGATGTAAAGCAGCGAGCATTGTCCCGAGTGGATTCCAGCAGGGACCTTTTGATAGTACTTTTTCTGCAGATTATGATGCGCTGAACAGTAGCCGCAATTTTCTTTTCAAAGGAAATAGATGAACTGGTGAATTGTGGAAAAATCTTGTCGTCCCAAATTCTACTCGCCATAGCCATAGAATATGATGCTCTTTTGCTAAGCAGATGTGATTATCGTAATCAGCAGGTCGGATAACCTCTATGAGCAAGCTTTCCGAGATGTTCGGGTTATTTCATTTTTTCTCGTTTTACGCTCTGGAAGTTCGCCGATGGATTTTGGTCAAAATGTTGATGCTCTTGAATTGTAAGGAAACTTCGCTTATAGAGGTTTTCGAACACGCTCTTTACGAAAATCGTGGTCTCTGAGGATTACAGTGTCTTTTTGGAGAGATACGGTGAGGTAACTGTAAGTGCACCACGAAAGTGCGTAACTTTGCCCGCACTCCTCGCGTTCTCTCAGAAACCTTGCTTGCTTGCTTTTCCAAGTCAAAGTGATTAGGAACTGAGCTGTCGAATGGTGCATGAATCGGGCTCCAATCTATAAAATTCGCCGAGTTACAAGCCTACGAAAACACGTCCTCATGAAATTCGCACAAAATGTAAAGATCGCGTACTTTGTTGAAATTCCACCGTGAGTGGTTGTATAAAACGCGGGCGGCGTGAACATAACATTTGCAATTAGTCATGCAACCACTCACGATGGAATTTCAACAAAGTACGCGATCTTTACATTTTGTGCAAATTTCATGAGGACGTGTTTTCGTGGGGGCGGGCGTTAGGTATCCAACCGAGGTGCGAGGGTTAGGTACCCAACCATTAGTGGTACACACTAGACCACGCCCCTTGGCTGCTTTAACAGCGGGTACCTAACGATACACCAAATTCTAGCTGCTAGAAAGGCTCACCAAACTCGCTAAAGCGCTGGCGCTTGCGACCCACACAAAATGGATAGTTCGAGAAAATCAAAAAAATGCGCGAATGAAAGCGTAAGTTTACAACGCTTTTTCTATTGCTTTTTTTAATCAATTTTAGAACCATAGAAATGCGGTGATGAAAGCTAAAAACAGGGTAAGGCTTTTATGAGCAGTTCACATAGATTTGCAAAAAGCTGTGATAATCTGATCTAACCGTTAAGTCAGCGGGAATTTCAAAAAAGTAAACTTTGAAGAATTAGTTTTATGATATCACTGAAGCAGAGCGCACTTTCGCACTTTCTTTCGGACGCTCCTGGCAAATAAGTTGCACGACATATTCCTTTGTTTCAAAAAAACTGCTTCAAATATATTTTGACAATGAGAAAGGAACCGATTGAAAGAAGAGCTTCGACGAGAACTTGTCATCAGGAATCGGAACTTCAAGGCGGACTATGTGGCACATTGATATGGGAAGGGCACTAGCTCTGTACCAGTCAACGAAAATTGTAAATTACCGAGCTATGCCAATTTCGCATGAGTGTCGCCAAGAGAGTGCAACAGGACAAAGCAGCAACTCTACTGAGAACAATTATTGGGAAAATTTTTTGCTTTTTGGGGAGTCACAAAAAAATGCATAACTTTGGTTGGATAAACTGAGCATATTTTGGCTGCTAAAAAAGAGAAGGAATATGAAACAATTGCACTATGAAGGCCTCCAAAAAAGCATTACAGAGAATGTAGGCATGATGAAATACATATAGGGCTTATCAAACTGAGTGTCGTTTGCGCCAGCATCTCCATCTTCGCGCTGGGCTCTGCGTCTCTTCTGCGGTACATGTTCCCTAATCACTTCCAATCGATTGAGGCTCCGCCTTTCCCACGCTCGCCGTGGGAAAGTGCTAGAGAGCTGCCCCGCGGAAGAGACGCAGAGTCCAGCGCGAAGATGGAGATGCTGATGCAAACGACACTCAATTAAGCCCTATAGCTCAATGAGATTTTCAAGTACTCTGCGTTGATACCACTGCTTAAATGTGTGCTTATCAATGCCTCATAAATCTGTTGGTCTTAACTATGACCGAAATAATAACCTCAATAATCTACGTTGACATAGTTCACAATTCCTGTGGCAATATTAACGCAAGTGTTACGACCCTTAACTTCACACCTCAAAACGGGCCTGATGACAATATGTGAAAGGAATATTCCGTGTGATATTTGCTAGGGGTGCATCCGAAAGTGCGCTTTTTTTTCACTAAAATCATAAAATTTTGATTTGTTGGTATTCTACAAGGTTTACTTTCATAAAATTCCCTCTGACATTATCGGTTCAGATTATCACAATTTTTTATGCAAAACTATGTGAACTGCTTATAAAAGCCTTACCTTGCTCTTAGCTTTCATCACCGAATTTCTGTGGTTCTAAAATTGATTTTAAAAAAGCAATAGAAAAAGCGTTGTAAAGTTGCGCTTTCATTCGCGCATTTTTTTGATTTCCTCGAACTATCTTTTTCATTTGGGTCGCAAGCCCCATCGCTTCAGCGAGCTAGGTGGGCTATTCTAGCAGCTAGGATTTGGTGTATCGTTAGGTACCCGCTGTTAAAGCAGCCAAGGGGCGTGGCTTACTGTATACCACTAATGGCTGGGTACATAACGCCCGCACCTCGGCTGGGTACCTAACGCCACGCACCCGTTTTCGTAGGCTTGTAACTCGGCGAATTTTATAGATTGGAGCCCGATTCATGCACCATTCGACAGCTCAGTTCCTAATCACTTTGACTTGGAAAAGCAAGCAAGCAAGGTTTCTGAGAGATACGCGAGGAGTGCGGGCAAAGTTACGCACTTTCGTGGTGCACTTACAGTTACCTCACCGTATCTCTCCAAAAAGACACTGTAATCTTCAGAGACCACGATTTTCGTAAAGAGCGTGTTCGAAAACCTCTATAAGCGAAGTTTCCTTACAATTCAAAGTACTCTGCGTTGATACCACTGCTTTCGGCGAACTTCCAGAGCGTAAAACGAGAAAAAATGAA